TCTATTCCGTCGAAATACCACAAGCAACACCTAACGGTTGATTTGCTGAGGATTTTCCGGCAAATGAATCTTCACAGCCATAAATTTTGGCTAAATCCTGTTCACCAATTCAAGCATGGGAAACAAAGAAAAAAAAAAACCCCCAAGGAGTACAAGAATTATTTTCTGCAATTTTTTGGGATTTTCGGCGCTGTGATTTGTATAAAAATGCGGGACCCGAATCAAAATTCCCGCGGATAAGTCGAATCCAGAATGCCCCTGGATTTTTACGTAAATCAGAATGCATGTCGAATCTCTTCGCAAGTCGCAACAAACTTTTTTAATGGTCCAAGGAATGCGTTATACAATCATGTCGTTTAATGGATTAAAAAATAAATAAAATGGGGACATTATCTTCGAAAATAATAAATTAATTCTTTCCAACCTGATCTCTTGTTTTGTCAAATAAACGTATTTGAACGAAATTAGAGTTTTTATGTACACCATAGGTATGAAAATGTAGAAAATTCGTGGAGAGTCATTTCGTCGCACTGAAAAGAAAAAAAATTTTGCGTCGTGTGTGGATTTTTGGCCGAGACTTTGGGAGCGTTTTGTTACGCGTTAAAAGAAAATTAATTGTGACGGAATTGAACCTTTTTCTGTGATTTCGTGTCATCCAGGCGAATGTGCGTGACGCTACGGACGGAGTTTGGGTCACATTTTTCGACGAACAAGCCAAGCAGATTCTAGGAGCTGATGCCCAAGTCGTGGGCCAGGCTTTTTCGGACGAGGAGGAATCCACGGCGCACAGGATTTTCCAAGAAGCCCTCTTCCAACCTCATTTGTTCAAGCTCCGTGGCAAAATGGAAACTTACAATGTAAGTTTGAACCGCCATTTTGTTTTTAAACGGAAATTTTCACCTGTCCTGATTTTCCAGACCCGTTTTCTTTGAATACACGTGCGTTCCATTCCAAAGAATGAGCCTCTATTTTTCAAAATGAACAAAATTGCCGTAATTTTTTAATGGAAAGTCTGAGCGGAAATTGTCAGAATGAATTCAAGAATGAAGAGGGGTATTAAGTATGATATTGAATTTTCGAGAAATGAGAACGAAGAATTCTTATGCCCAACGACTAGGAATAACTTTTACAGCCCGAACAGTTCTTTCTTTGATTTTTCTTCAGAAAGTCGAAATCAGTGGAATTAATTTTAAACCAGCATATTGAATCCGAAGTGAAATTTTGAGGGATTGAACGAAAGATGAAGAAGTCAGCCCGACTAGAATTTCGAATTAGTGAACTATATGAACTGTGTTGAATCTTGAAAGAAACGAGAATACCCGGGTAAAAACAGTGTTTTTCTGTGAATTCTATCTACCCGAAGAATTAGACCTAGTCGAGACCCGTGAAATGAATTCCCTAAACGCAGTCTGAACTAAAATTTTGTACGGATGATGAACATGAGCAAATGAGTACAGTACAGCTCTTTATTTCAAGTTACTGCATAAAACAGGATAAAACTTTGTCAAGACCAATGAAATTAATTCCACGAAGCGGGTTGCGTTTCTTTAGGGTTAAACATACAGAGGAATTCCAGTGCTAAAGATTATTTCTAGGGGTATGAAGCATAAGAATGAGACCTAGTGAGAACCATTGTCAGTAAAAAAAAAAAAACTTCAAAAGTAATGTTGAAGGACCGATACTGGCAGGAAAACCTATCGTGAACAAGTTACGATTGTGGTGGGAGGAATTTTGTTTTTTATATTTTACTCTTGGAAGACTTACTGCAAGTGTAAAAATAATGAGTCGATATTTCGGATATTATTGTGAGAAAAAAAAAATTGACAATGCAGCTCAACTCCAGGTGATGATTCTTTTTTTTATCGCAGGATGACAATCGCCTGAAAACTACTTGCGTGACAGTCCAGAAGTTGTCTACGGATGAGCAAATCAACTTCTTGGAGAAGGAGATTGCCCGCTTGTGCAATAAGCTGAATGTCACGCCGGACTCGATGTGAACTGAAATCGCCTGAAAACTACTTGCGTGACAGTCCAGAAGTTGTCTACGGATGAGCAAATCAACTTCTTGGAGAAGGAGATTGCCCGCTTGTGCAACAAGCTGAATGTCACGCCGGACTCGATGTGAACTGAAATTTTTTGCAGATATTCGCAAGTAATTTTTCGTATACTGAAGATTCCAGCCGTTTCCTCCTTTTTTTCGTGCGGAATGGAACTGCTTTCTTTCCTTGATGGTGAAGAAGCGTGAGAAATGAATCCTCGCATTGGCTCTGTGGCATGTATTTGCTTCTGTATTTTTTTACAGTTCAAGTACAGTATTTAGTTTTAAGTTTCATCTTTACAGCATCTGGTACATCAGACTAAATAGTTGAGGTCAGATTTGATAAGAGTACATAGTCTGTTACATTATTAATAAGATTTATCCAAGTTGATGACAGGCAAATTAAAAGCTTTACGATTGTGCTTCCACCACAAATCAATGTTGTCACATGGTGTTCAGTACAGTAATGTGAAGTTAGTTTTTGGGTCGTGAGCCTAACCCCAAGATAGATTTAAGAATACTGTACAGTTTTTGGGTCGTGAGCCCAACTTCAAGATGGATGAAAGAATACCTATTTTGAGAAATCGATAACCTTTTATTTTTAAAAGGTACTGCTGTACAGTCTTAACTTACTGCAGAAATTTAATTCACATTTCATCTTCATACTATGAAAATTGGCTGCAAGATGGAGGTGAGAATATCAATGGTTCGAAGTAAATGTAACAATCCCCATAATCACCGAGAACTGTTTGCGTGGTGCTCTACACAAAAAAAACGGCACTTTCTGCGACCTTCATTCAAGTTGAGCACAACCTGACCGCATGCACCCCACAAAGGTCGAATTTCAAACAAAAATGATACCAGAAATGAACACAAATTCAGATTTATCCATACATCATGCATTTCAGATTCAGAACTTGTGACCAGCTTCAGAGAAGAACCACTAAAAACGGATACAGTATTCGAAACGCCGAAGCCGTATTTACTGTTAATACGTAATAGGCCTTCAAACTTTTTTTTGACATCCGCAATCTGACAAACACCGCATTTTGTTTTCTTTTTCTGAGTACAGACTCGGGGGCATAACAGTTGTTACCTATCTAAGACCGATACTCGTGCCATAATGCAGATGACCGCTTCAATTGTCCTTGGAGACCATGTGGTTGATCAGGTCGACGACTCTGCACGAGTAGCCAAATTCGTTGTCGTACCTAAAATAGATGTAAAAAGAAGCATGATCATTCAAGAATTGTCAGTAAGATGTAGAATTACAAAGAATTTCACGTCCAAGAAAAAAAGG